AAAAAAATGTTGAAATTGACTCAAGAATTGTCCAAAATAAAATTATTTTTTAGTCATTTGTAGTAATATTATCATAGAAAATAGTTTACAAAAAATGTACATAATTTTTACAATAGTGTCCATCTATTAATTTGTTCTTTTACAGTGTGTGAGCAGAACAACTGCACTGGTTGACTGTATTTAAATCAGCTAAAAATGTCATTATCCTGCAGATGCTTGCTGTTGTTTTACCCGTGTAGCGTTACAGTTTATATAATTTTTTTTTTTTTTGCACAGATTTCCTCTTTTCTCTTTACAGTACATTCAAGTGATGGTGTTTCTCTACATGGAACCTGTGGGGTGTTCAGGTGACGTAAACGGAGCTCCAGGTGGACGTTCTGCTCTCTGGATCCAGGAACAAACTCGTCTGAAACCTGAGCTGGGCTCCTGCAGGAAGCAGGAGAAGCTGCAGCCCGTCGACTCATTAGCGCTCTGAGGCGGGCCAAGCTGTCGGGTTCTGCGAGAACGTGGCGACGAGGCCGTTCCCCCGATCATCCGGCGGATTGGGTTTCAGCCGGCCGGCCTCCTTAATGACCCCTTTCCCTGTCCGGCCCTCGGAGCCTGAGACCCAGGCCGGGCCTCCTGAACCAGCCCCAATCTGGCCGACATCTGCGGCCGGTGCTACCTTGTCATTAGCCGCCGACCACCGGCTCGGTCCGCCCGGAGCCCCGGCCCTCGCCACTTTCCCTCGGCCCCGGCCCGCTCTCAGGGGACCCCCGGCGGGGCCCGGACCCCGTGTTGGGAACCCCCAGGGAGAAAGTAAAGGCCTCCGTTGGCGGGGAGGGGCGGGACGGGGAGGATGTGGGGGGGCGTCTCCGGGGAAACGGCTTTGTTCAGGAGGAGGATGATGGTCAGACTGGTTGGACTGGTAACTGAGCTAAAGATGGAGGAGGAGGAGGAGGAGGCTGTCAGGCTGAAACACAACAGTACAGTAACACAATAATACAGTAACACAACAACACAGTAACACAACACAGTAACACAACAACACAGTAACACAGTAATACAGTAACACAACACAGTAACGCAACACAGTAACACAACACAGTAACACAACACAGTAACACAACGATACAGTAACGCAACAACGCAGCAACATAACAACACAACATAGTAACACAACGACACAGTAACACAATAATACAGTAACAAGACAGTAACACACAATAACAGACTGTAACACACAGCAACACAACTCAGTATCACAGTACCACAGTAACACAACAGTAACACCACAACAAAGTAACCCGCTACAACACACAATAACACACGGAGACACAATCACACACTAACACACTGAGACAGTAACACAACAATAACACAACAGTAACACGCGTGAATCTGAATTCTTTCCATTTTGTTTTTTGAACCATCAACATGTGAACTAATTAGTTTTTCTGCACCGTCGTCTGTATTTTAACAAAGCTGGAAAAATCTGTAAATTCCCGGAAACCGTAAAAACAAAAGTTATTGAAATAGTTCTGAATAATTTAATAGTTGACGACTAACTGATTAATTAATGCTGAATGTTTTCACATCGACTTGAATATGAATGTCTGACTGCAGATCTCGTCACGCTCTAAAGGTTACGTTAATATCAACAAATGTGTTCTAACAACACGTTTTGAAGGAATTCTGATCTCATGTGGATCATGTGATGAGGAAATGTTGATGAAACGTCCCATCAGAGTGTTTGTCATAGGAAGACATCAGGGACTCACGTTTATTTCTATTTAACCACCACCGAGCGTTTCGTCCGCCCTCCATCCACCCCGACCTCCTCCTGGTTTTATTACACTGTCGTGTTTATTTGTAATTTAGCGACGTATAAAAAACAGACCTCACACGGTTCATTCGTTCACATGTAAACATTTAATCTGTTGCTGTTAAATCACAACATTTTCACAAATTAATATAAAAAACTTTTCTTGTTAATCACATGTAAAAAACCCTCATATTCACATGTTTTTATATAATTACAGGCTGAGCTTCCCTTAATGGATCCACTTTGTGAAGGTTTGTGGACGTTTCGTGTGTGATTTGATCTCACGTGAAATGTGAAATCTGAAAGAAATAACATGGAAGTCGATGATGTAAATATTCATTTTCACTCCTAGAGTTAATTTCTTGGTGCGAAATTCCCCCAAAAACGCAACAACACATTTCACATGTTAATCCTTTAATGTCATGATACCGAAGAAAGTAAAACTGGGTGCAGCTCCATTCAGACACCATGAACTGTTCATTAAATTTCAAGCGTTTCTTCTGCTTAACTTGAATTAAATGGTTTCCACAAGCTGTTGTTTTCACACGACAACCACTAATTCAAGTATGCAGATTGTTTTTTTTCATGTTTAAAAGTGCTTTGTGTTGGATGGCCAGTGGGTCGTTTGCTCCCGGCGGCGGCGTCTTGTTTTGGTAACTTCCTGCTGTTGTTGGGTAAACAGCTTCGGCAACAGCGGCAGTGACGTTTTTCAAAATTCAGCTCTTCATTCGGCAGTTCACTGTAATTACCTGTAAACTAACTTTTTAGCTCGTTTTAGTACCAGCTTCTATAATCCTGTTATAACCTCGTAGATATCTGATATGTTGCTTTCGTTCGGAGGCAGTTTTTGCGTCGTGGCGCCATTTTGCGTCACGTTTAACCTTCTCATTAAACTGGCACGAGTGTCATTACCGATGTTTTTAAATGGCAGTTTCACAGACGAACTAAATAAATATCTCGGTGTACAGACGACATTTTATGCTAACGTTACAGTGTTAGATTCATGGTAAGGTCATTAGCTGCACGATTACACCGCAAGAGGCTCCGACGTTTGGCTGGTTAGTCTCAAGCATTTTTCTTTTAGATTGAAATGCATTTTTTTTAACAATCCTTGCTGGTGCAGGAACATGAAAGGCAAGTTACCAAAGTTTTTTTTTTATCTCTTTGCGGTTGCCAACGAGGCTCTTTTAAGGCCTTGTGGTTCAACACGGACTCCGTTGGCTTGTTCAGTAACAACAACTCAAAAGCTTTTTAACGTCCTGTCGAGGGACGAGGCTGCTACGGTCCTTGTTTGGGCACCCAGGTGAAGCTCCAGCGCCCCCCGGTGTCCTTCCTGACGAAGGCCTGTCCTTGGGGGAAGCTGTGGGTCTTGACGCTGCTGGACGGGCTGAGCAACATGCTGAAGGCCAAATCTGAGCGGCCACAAGGCGTTGGCGGCGCTGCAGAAGGCCGACGAGTTGGACTCGTTGGGCTGCCGGGCGTCCAGGGCTGGTTGGACGTCGACATTGGAGAGAAGTGGATCCATCCCGCTGGTGGGCTGAACTGGACCGAGTCCTGCGACGGCGTCCAACGGTGGGACCAGAACAGAGGAGGGTTGTCGGAGCAGATCTCGGAGGCAGTGGAGGTGTCATGGCTTCTGGTCGTCCCAGGGTGTTCGGCGGCAGCAACGTCCACTTGAGACCTCATGCAGTTCTGAGTGGACTCGGCAGGATTATCGCAGTCCGCTTGGCATTCTCTGTACCTGTAGTCATGAGTGGATCTTTGGCAGAAGCCATGGACGGACGACGGCGTCGACGAGGCAACCGGAGAACCAAAAGAAGAGCTGAGCGTGTCTTCAGGAGACGACGACGGGGTGACGGCAGTGTCGTAAACTAAACCTCCGATGCACTCGGATGAGAACTCGTTGGACGTGTCGATGGTGTCTCGGTCCTTCAGTCCCAGCGTTTGTAGCACCCACAGGTCCAGGTTCGGCTCTGAGTGGGTGGACGTCTCGAAAGACTCGGAGCAGAACTCGGCAGTGAGGTTCCTGCAGACTCTCTTGCTGACCTGCTGACGGCTGAAAGCTTCACCGTCGAGGTTCCTCTTCGGCCTCCTCCTCGTCCCGTCGGCGGTTAGTTTCTGAGGACAGAATGAGACGCAGTAAGAGCAGCATTCCTCTGTGCTTTTATTAATCTGTCTTAACTGCATGAACATTTAGCGTTTTCAGGGTTTGAACACAACGTGGACTGATGCTAAATATAATATAAATACGTTGATGATTTGTTTATTTTTAATTTGACATTACGTCTGTTATTGATCGCGCCAATGTGACGCTATGTGTCTGAACATATTCAGATTTTGACCGCCTCTGCTGCTGCTCCGCATTTCCCTACTGACATTGACATCAGTAATAGTAGTGATCCACCTGTTGTTTGGGTTCTGAGATGCTGGGAGTGCATGAAGACTGTTGTGTTCACTCTAACAGTGCATGAAGACTGTTGTGTTCACTCCAACAGCAAACAGCAGGACATTTGGGGACTTTTTAGAGACATTTAAGAGTTTAGTAGAAGCAACTGAAGAACGTAAATAAACCAGGGGGACTGAGAGGCATCTGTTCATTCTGATTGGTTCACCTGGAAGCAGTGAGGGGGCGGAGCTATACAGAGTCTGAGCTGCTATTGGTTCATAATGATACGTAGCACTGAGGGGAAATTCTTGCTGGTTTGTAAAGCTGAGAGTCTGTCTAGTTTTGATGAATGGCAGAAATAGAAAACAAAATGAGATTTTCACTATATGGGACCTTGAGTGTCTGATTTGAGCTGGTTTTATGTCATTTAATTTACAAATCTGTCACAAGTGGATGTAATAGGAAATAAAAACGTGCAATATTTACCCCTAAAAGAAACATATGAAGTGAACAAAAAAGCTCCACCAGTTTCAGTAAATGGGACTTTTGGGGGGTTTAGGAAGCAATGAGGATGTAATTGCAGCAATTCTGGGTTGGATCACTGACCTTGGCCTTCTGCTCCAGGTTCCTCACGAAGGAGGAGCTGAGGAACCCTCTGAGCTTGTTGTTCTCCTCCTGCAGTCGGGCCAGTTCCTCCTCCCTCTGCAGCAGAGTGTCCTGCAGCTGGAAGCATTTAAAACACCAAGTTCAACCCGCTGCAGTTAGAGCAACAGCCCAAAGGCGCTTCCCTTAAAGCTGTCCCACATCTAGAAGGATCTTCTCATCCTTTAAATGCCCCTCGAGGAGCAAAGAAACACACACAGCTGTATCCTCCATGAGGGAGTTAGAGAAGATGTTACCTGTTTGTTCCTCTGCAGGTGAGGCGAAAGCTGCTCCGTCCACATCAGACCGGCCGGAGGAGATCCATAGAAACCACACTGGGACGCTGCCGGAGACAGTCGGTGACGTTATTTTAAAAATATTCATGAACACTTTGAAGCTGCAGGCGCAGACAGAAGTACTCGGATTCTTTACTGAAGCAAAACTGCAAGTACATCAGTGTAAAAGTACTTCACTGCAAGTAGAAGTCCAGCAAAGTATTCTACAGGAGTAACTGTCACATCAAACAGTAAATGAAGCAACCTGAGATGAACATAAGTACTAGAAATATAACAGGATTATTGAATAAAATCTGATGCATTTTTACAGATGAAGCTTCTCCACGGTGGATGAGACCAACGCTGTCTGGATAAAGTTCTACCTCACAGCTCAAAGGATAAAGACTACGTTCATTCAGCCTTTAGTTCCTCCCACAAGCTGTGCGGTTTGGTGGAAAAATGCCAAACGATGCCCGAATCAGCCGCCAGACTTCCTCAGCGGTGCATCAGGAGGACGAAGCGGCTCAAACCGACACATCAGCAGCACCTTGTGGACGACGGAGGAACTGCAGCCGACAGACGCATTCCATAAAACTGGCTCAGATCGGCTTTGACAAATTGAACCCTTTGAACGAGGAGACTGGGAGAAAATTAAAAGATGAATCTTAATATATGAACTGTCCGGATGCTTCCGTCTGCGGCACACAGGCGGGTCGCTTATGTGGAAACTCTGCGGTTTGATAAATGAGTCCCGGTCTGCTGAACGTGGCATTTGCAGAAATATTCCTTTCATGAGGGGAGATTCAGCAGAGCGACGCTGCACTCTGATTGGCCGACGGGAGTCCTGCATCCAGAGCTGCAGAATAAACCCTCCTGGTTGTTGTTGTTGTTGTTGTTGTTGTTTACTGGACTCACCAAACGCTGCCGGCGGCTCGTGTCGCTTCTCCGCGAGGTCACGGAGGTCACCGGGGTCACGGGCCCAAACCGAGGCCAGGGTTTCCATGGAAACGTCAACAGTGTCTGGGCCGAGGGCCGAGTGCTGGAGGTGATGATGATGATGAAGAGGAGGAGGAGGAGGAGGAGGAGGAGGAGGAGGAGAGGGAATCCCTACAGAGAGACAGAAGCTGAATGAAGGGATGGAGGGAGGGAGGGAGTGTGTGTGTGTGTCTGTGTGAGTGCTATCTCTGTGAGGACCGGCTGCCGTTTGTGAGGACCTGCTGTGTGTTGTGCGCTCGGCGGTGCCAACTCGCTGTGTGTTGATATGGAGATGATCAACACTTCAGCAGCGCTCCCATTTAACAACACAGCTGCTGCGCTGCAGGACCAAAAGTATGTGGACACCTGAACGCTGCAGCTCCGTGTCCGTTACTCTGCTCTGCCCCCTACAGGGAGATACAGGAACTACAGAAATGCAAATATATAAAAATAAGCAGTTTTTAAATTTACTGTCATGGTGCAGACTTCACTGACAGATAAGAGAAGTTATTTTATTATCATTTTTTAAAAGATAATTGGCATTATTTGAAAGAAAATTATGCATATGAAAGGTATTGCACCCTTTTTTTGGCATGTTTTCTGGTGCCATGGGGCCAAATTTTCACAGTTTTGTTTTTTTTATTGTTTTTACAGATTTTCTTATTTTTTCTTTTTCTTTTGTTTTTTTCTTTCTTTTTTTTTCTTTTGCAGTATACGCAACCCAATACTTGTTAAGGGTGCATCCCACGTGAGCTAAAAGTTCAACTCCCTGCTGCCCAGACCTATGTATTCCCCTGCTCTAAGGGCAAAAATGTTTTTTTTAAAAAAAAACAAAAAGCCAAAAAGAAAAACTAGATGTATATTTACTGCACACTATGTCAGTTGTTTGGTTTTTTTGAGGCATTTTTAATTCATGTGTCTGTGTTTCTGCCTACCCCAGTACTATTTCTGTCTACAAGTGGCATGCTAAGCTAGCTAGCTTTAGCAGAAGCTTAGCTGTATTTTTTATTCCTTTTCTTAATCATGTGAAAAAACTAATTGAATACCCTAAACGACACCTTAAAATGGAGATTGTTCATTTACAGGCAACAACTAGTGGAACATTTAAAATTAAACTTAGCTTGAGCCTTAGCTAA